CCATGGGTGGCCCGATGGCGACAGGACTTGGGAGCTGAGCTAGCTGCACCCTCCACAACTAAGATTGAGACAACAACTTGGCTGTTCCCCTTCTCCAATACTGTTCCCTTTACCCAATTCGCCAATAAAATCTTTTAAATAAAATAAAATAAACACTCATGAAATACCGAAACAAAGTACAGGTGATCTTGATCTTGAAAGGGAGACAAAATGATCTGCAGAAACAAACTCCCTTTGTTAAAGTGCAGGCTGCTTCAGCTGGACTCAAATGGGGCCTGAGGGTCTGCATTTCCAATAGGCTCCCGGATGGTGCTGATTCTTCTGGTCTTCCAAGCACAGTGTGAGTAGCAGGGGGTATAACTGGGAAGCACTATTTATCATGATCCCCTGCCCTCTTACAACCATTTGATCAACTGATCCAAAAGTAAAGATGTTTACGGACAATAATCAATAACTCTAGTATCCCTTTCAAGTAGCATAATTGTAATTTTACTTGGGTTATCAAGACAACTGCCTTACTCCAAGGAAGACAACCTGAGAGAGTGATATGTAGCAACCAGAAGGATCAGTATGTGATGAGGCTTGTCATGTTTGTGCTGGGGGGCAGGGAGGAGAACCATCCTTCCAAATACATTTAAAGTATTCAAATCTAGTTCTTATTGAGGTAACATTGGTTTATAATATTATATAAGTTTCAGGTGTACAACATCATAATTTGACATCTGTATACCCTAATGCATGCTGCCCACCAAAAGTCTAGTTTCCATCCATCACCATACAATTGACCCCCTTTACCCATTTCACCCACCCCATATCCCCTCCCCCTCTGGTAACCACCAAAGTGTTGTCTGTATTTATGAGTTTGGTTTTGTTGTTTTGCTTGTTTCATTTTTATATTCCACATGTGAGTGAAATTATATCCTATTTGTCTTTCTCCATCTGACTGTTGGTGGGATTGTAAATTGGTGCAGCCACTATTGAAAAGAGTACGGAGATGCCTCAAAAAATGAACAATAGAACTACCGCATGATTCAGATATTCTACTTCTGAGTATCTATCCAAAGAAAACAAAAACACTAATTCTAAAAGATATCACCCCAATGTTCATAGCAGCATTATTTATCATAGACAAAATATGAAAACCACCTAAGTGTCCATTGATGGGTGAATGGATAAAGAAGACACGAAGACACACACACACACACACACACACACACACACACACAATAGGGAATGCTACTCAGCCATAAAAATAAAAAAAAAAGAAGACAGGGCCGGCCGAGTGGCGCGATGTTTGAGAACTGGCTTGCGACACCAGAGGGCCCCGTATCCCACATATGAGGGTCAGTGACACTGCCCTCTACAGCTAAGATGCTGAACAACAGCTCAACCTGGAGCTGGGCTGCCGTGAGTCGCCTGCCACGGCATAGGCTGCAGCCCCTGTGGCAGTGGGTTGCCATGGGCTACTGTGTGTAGCCAGCAGCCAGCGTGAGCGGTCAGCAGTCGCAGTGAGCGGCCGTCCAGAAGCCAGTGACTGATCTGCCTCGCCCGGGAAGAGCGCAATGATGGTGCCAACTTGGGCCAGTGAAGCAACGTCCTTCACAACTAGACTGAAGAACAAAAAAATGACAGCAACTTGTCTGTTCCCCTTCCCCCCAATTCCCCAGCACTGTTCCCATCCTGCCAATTCCCCAATTAAAAAAAAAAAGACAAAATTTGCGACAACGTGGATGGACCCTCAGGATATTATGCTAAGTGAAATAAGTCCATATCTACTTTTTATTTCCATTAATATTTGAATTACATAGTTGAGTTATGTAAATAATGCTCTTTCTCATAAGAATAAGGCAAAAAAAAGTAAGAAAGAGAACAAAAGATTGACAGAGAGAAAGGGAAAAAGGGAGGGAGGGAAGAAAGGAGATGGAAGAGAAGGGAGGAAAAAAGGAAGGAGAGGATAGTGATAGAGATAACATGTCTACATAATCCTTTTTCCTAGTCAAATCCTCATTCCATTGACTTTGGAATATCATAACTTTGTTGATAAATCAATTAGATGAGCTTAACTAGTGGTAACTATTTTTCTACAGTTTACAGGACACATTCATTCATTTAAGAATATGTCCTTGTTAATTAGAACACCTTAGCAGATTACTGGGCTAAAACACAGATGAAAGGTTGTGCTGGCACATATCAAGATAACTCTTAAAAGTGAGAAACAATCCTGTCATTCAACCCAAAGTCCTCGCAGGCTGAGTCCCATATTTAGGTAGCTTCTATCTTCTAAGATAATTCTATTGGCCTCAGCCATTTTATCCCGGTAGTTTAAAAAAGTGTCCCTAAAGTTAGGTAATTTCTGCCTCTTACAAACTCTGTGACCTCGGGAAAATTAATTAACCACCTTTGTGCCTCAGTTTCCTTATGTATAAGATGCGGGACATGGTAGCACCTAATTAATGAAGAATGCACTAAGGCAATCCCTGGCATAGGGTGAAGTTTCAATGTGTCAGTTCTTATTATGTGCATGTGCTAATCCCTCACCAAACATACTTTTTTTTCTTTCGATGCTTTTATATCCAAATGCAAATGAACCTTGAGACAATGCCCAAGACTGAAGAGGTCAGATATACAGGGTAAAATTATCCCATAAATGTACAAACCAATAGAAAATATCACGGGTCAAGAGGGAGAGGGGATGTTGTGTAATGAATGCAGTGGAGCAAAGTGGCTGAAAGTCTAAGTTTCTAGACTCAAAATGATGAGACACCATCACAGCTTTTATAATTACTGTGGCACGAATTTAAGCAAATTACTTAACCCCTCTAACCCCCCCCCCCGTTTCCTCATCTGAAAACATTTACTGGAGCAGTAAAACAATTCCTCTTTTGTGAGGCTTAAATTAGATACATTTTTAATATGCTTCATGTGTCAATATGTGGTAGCTTAAAAAATATTTTAAGTTCCACTAATACACCCACACTACCATTTACTAGGAAGGACAAAAGCAAATATTAATATATGATGGTATGACCCAGCCTTCTAAATGCTTCCAAACGAGATGAGGAGGCCACACAGATAACGTACAGTACAAGGTAACCTACATTTAAAATTACAAATTCTTCCTGTTAAGATGACAATTTGCTTTTTCCTGTTTCTTTCCCCCATCATGTTCTTTCTCTCTATCTTGCGTGCAAAAATTTATGACAGTTTTCCATCCTGAATTGGGCTATCTAAAAGGAAACATTTTATTGTAAAAATAACAAAAACAAACAAACATATGCAATGTCTCTTGACTTGCCACTACCTTGTCTAATTTATTTCTTATTAGCAGAAAAATGTATGTGTTGTAGAATAGAATTTTATGGCCAGTAAAGAGACCCATTTTTGTTTTGTTTTGTTTTGAGTAACCAAAAAAGAGAAACAAAATCAAGCAGAGTAGGAAGTGACCTGCGGAGTTCATCTTGACAGATGCAGAAATAAGAGAGATGATGAAGGGATGAACCATGAAACTTGGAAGCTGAAAAATATTTGGGTAATATGATGGTGCCTGTGATTCAATGTCTGCAAATATTTTTTTTATAATCACATTTATTTTTTCCTTCAAAACAGAAAAGTTAGTTGTGTTAAAAAGGAAAAGAGCTAAACACATCTCTTTTACCGAAACTCCTTACTCCTTCTTTTACCGGAAGTCCTCGCCTGGGGATTTACATTACATGCTCAGCCCAAGTTTCCTTTCCTCAATTTGAGAACCCAACGCAGACTGGTAGAGTTTAACAACAGGGTGCTCCAGGGCCACCGCGGCTGTGTTTTATCACCAGTCTTTGAGGGAGGCCTCAAGCCAAACTCCTCATTGAGATCCCACTGGCTGGGTGGGTGCAGAGCTAACTGGGTGTAGCTTGCACCAGGTTGTTCAGCCTTTGAGTGAAGACAGACAGACTTCCACAGGGGCAAGCAGTGAGTGAGGTGATGGTTCATGGCAATGCGTTCTTATCTGAGAAAGCATTAGGGGGAACTAGATGAGGTCAATAACATTCCTCAGCAAAACGGGACTGGAAATCATTGGAGAGTGATTTATCTATTGTCAGAGAGCACAGAGGCTGTGGCAGTAAGCCCCGAGCACACCTGATCTCATCTGATCCCTGAAGCTAAGCAGAGTCTGGCCTGGTTAGTGCTTGGATGGGAGCCAAAGGGCAGGAGGAAAAGAGAGATAGTCCCTGGCTCTCTGGGGGAAAAAAATAGGCTCTTTGTTTGAAGCACATCTAACATTAATAACGCTTGCTTTATACTATAGTTAATGGGGAACAATCTGGACATTAAGTACATTTTTTGTGTTTGTTTCTTAAAATGAGCTAATTTTCTTTGTTTCTGTACTTCTGTACATAATTTTTCATTGGGGTTCAAAGGATTATAGAAGGAATGGGGTAAATTCAGAGGTATCAAGAGAATCAAACTAGATCTACGGATTTAAAGGGTATCACACAAAAGAAGGTGAATATTCCTGACCCATCCACAGTTCAAAATACAACTCCATTGGGGGGAGGGGGGTTGTTACTTTGTGAGGGTGAAAAGGGTAACTATTGCATTGTTCTGTACACCTGAAACTAACAATAAAAAAAAATACAACTCCATTTAAAACCATGAGCCAGATTATTTCATCGCCACGGGGTGCCCACTGTTGACATTTACGATGCTGTTGAGCCTAAAGTCAAGGAAAGCCACCCACCTGAAAAGCTAGTTTGATAACAACTGTTGACAATCAATTCAGCTGAGTAGTCTTCAGCTTATACTTTCAAAATCCAAAACTCAGGGTAAGTTATCGCTTAACTGTCATTATTCAAAATACTAGTGGGAATGTTATCACCATGAACCCCTGGGTAAAACTTTTCTTTTGCCATCTCACCGCCATTTTAATTTTGTTTACATCTCTAGTCATTTGCACAGATGTTGATGAAGCTGTATTTTTGCTCCCCTGTCTATTGCAATATTCTTATTGCATTCTGCAGGTCCTCCAGTAAACGTTACTTGCAATATTTTTATCAACAGTTTTGGATCAGTCACAGAAACCACCATGGTAAGTGCCACAATGCCACTGGCAAGAGAAAATGTGACTTGATTATGCCATGAACACAACCTGTCAAATTTTCTATTTATTGTTCAACTTGCAGGGCCTCCTGTAAATGTTACCTGCAACATATTTATCAACAGCTTTGGGTCAATAGCAGAAACTACAATGGTGAGTGGGACTGAGCATTGAAGCCATGGTGTGAAGGAATGGGATAGAGGATCAAAGAGTACCGCTGTATATCTGTGGGACATTTACTGAGTGCCAATTTCCAAGTTCGCTCACCTCTAAAAAGCAATTACTTATACACTTTGACTTTAGAAAGTCATTAGTCAAGTGTTCATTACTTAAAATTCAATAACCTTTTATTCATCATGCCAGAGAAATTTTGGAAACACTTGATGTTTGGTTAGATTTGGATAGAATTATCAGTAATAAGCATGATGTATTGTTAAGGATATTTAAATATTTTCATCTCCAATGATTCAGAAATACAAATGTCAAAGTTTGGGAGATATTTTTTATAGCCAGTCTTTTTCATATAATGGGTGTTTCAACATAGTCAAGCCTAGGATATGCAGCATTTAAGATGTATGCCAAGGGGTCTGACTTTACAATAAATACACATACACACACATTTTCTGGCAATAGAAAGTAATCCCAAATCCATAGCAATTATGTCACACGCATGACTTTAAAAAAATAACATAAACATCAAACTATTAAAAGCTCATCATAATGTACATGCAAACATGTCTCATGTACATGATAAAGATTTTAGATACCATAAAATTCACCAAGATTCCTTATAAATGTCATGGTTATGGTGTTGCATGGGACACAGCCTATTAGACCAGTGGCCTTACAGTGCTATGATATTGTGTGGAGATTGCATTTTTTAAAATTTATTTTTTTACTTAAGTTTGGTTGGTATATAATCTTATATTGGTTATATCAGTTCAGGTGTACAATACAATGATTTGATATTTTTATACCTTACACTGTGACCACCCACTAATTCTAGTAATAATCTGTCACAGTGTAAACTTATCAAAATATTATTGACTATATCCCCCCCCACCTTCCTTCTAGGAATCATCCCTCTGGTCTCTGTTTTTATGAGTCTGTTTTTTTGTTTTGTTTTGTTTTTTGGGTGAAATATTTTCTTGGTCCCCATACAATTTATTTTACATCCTAAGTCTATTGGCTGGTTTTAATTTTCATGACTATGTAAAGTATATTGCCATTTTATTGGATGAGATCAAAACAAAATATAGTTGAGTTTGATCAAGTATGTACTATGATGGCTGATGTCTTAGAAACATTCAAGAAGTGAAATAATGAGCATAATGCCACTGAGAAGTAAAAAACAGTGTTCCACGTTTTTATGAATTTTCTCTTTTAGGCTATTGGGATTATGTTTAACAAATTATTGTTCTTTCTGCTGTCCTTGATGCTAAAATAATTTACCTTTTACAACTCCTTTCCACTGGCAAAATTAGAAATAATGCGACCCCACTCCCTATTTTAATATTATTCTGACACAGCATTGCCACGAAATAGACTTCTGGGGCTTTGACAGGATGTAGTGCATTAAGAATTTTACCCAAATAAGATAGGTTGCATAGTTATTAAATGACTCATAAGAAACATGGGATATGGAAAGAATAATCCAGCTCTGGGCTTGGCATTCAGTTTCTGTCTCTCCCCTCTTGGTTTTTTCCCTTCACAGAGGGGTGAATCTCCCAGCAGCCCAAATCACTGTCACCAGCTTTACACAATGGCATTCAATGACAATATTTGCACGACCTAATGCTGATTGCATTAATTAGCCTCCTGCTGCTTTGATTAAATCTCCTCATTGCATTTTACCCTCAATCAAAACTATAAATGCGCACCTTTTCAATGCTCATTAATGCAAGAAAAAGCTTAATATTTAAGGAGATGGAAACGGAAACTATGGACATCCTTGTTTTCCTGTGTCTTTAACAGCTACTGCAGGTATTTACTAAATGAGCTGCTTAGGTGCTTCCTGGTCACTTCGTAAAGTGTTCTTTGTCATGTTTCCTATGAAAAAATTTGAAACTCATTGCTCAAGTGGAGTATCAACGGCCTGTTTATTCTGCTGAATGAGATATCCTGAATCGCATGGTCAGAAGAGTGATGCATATTACGCTTCTTTTCTTTTATTTCTTAGCTTTTAATGTAATGATATAATACAAAGTATCTTTTGTTTTCTTTAATTATGGCTTTTGTGTGAAATTTAAAAAAATATTTTCTGAAACTCTATCATGCTTACATCAAAGAATAAATCCTCATGCCATGTAGGGTAGGGACTGGCGAAAGTTTTTCTGTAAAAGGCCAGACCATAAATACTTAAGACTCTGTGTCACAAGTACTCAATTCTGCCCTTTTGGCATGAAAGCAGCCATAGAAAATAGTAAGCGAGTAGGTGTGGCTGCAGTCCAAAAAACTTTACTTATAAAAACATGTTGTTGCCACATTTGGCCCACAGGTCATAAGGTGCCAACCTGGATCTAAGGCATCAATATTTATATATTCAGATGCTCATAAGAACCTGCAAATTGTTCCATCTTGAAAGGGCTTTATCTTTCCCAATCCCTGAGGCCCTGCCTGGGAACCTACCTGATACACCCACAGAGAGTCACCACAGCCCGAGCTGCCTTTATCAAAACCCTGAGATTTGATCACTCATCAATTTACCCATACTTGCACAAAATTTGGCTCAAAAAAATTGGTCGAAAAAATTTAAACAGAACCAGATTCTTCCCTGAACTGTCTTTAGTTGGAGTCAGAACATCACTGAGGACATTGATAAGTGCTCTTTGGGGGGATAAGAGTTTTGCTTTCTCTACATTTTCTGGTATGAATTTTTCCAAGAATACCTCAGAATGTTGAGTTTCCTACTTTCACCCCATCATACTGATAGCATTATTGAAGGATTCAGTGTGGGTGTTTGTTTCTAAATAAGAGGCAAAGATCTGTTTTAAGAACCCAATATGACTTTCTTTCGGTGCTATCCATTGTGCCCCTCCTGTGTGTGATGATATCCCACAAAGTATAGGCTCACTATAGAGCCAAGAGGACCTTGAACTACTTCGCTTTGTAACTGTTGATGATATGTGCTCACAGGACAACATACTTGTGTTATTCTAAGGGCTATTTTTCCGGATCATTATGATGATATACATTATTCCAAAATACACACTTTCGTTCATTAAGAGTCAGGGATCTATTGATGGACCCTGTGTTGATATTTCTAATTGACCTTGTGTTAATATTCAGGGGAACAAATTTTTGGGGGGGGTTCCAAAAGACTAGTAAGGCATGTGTAATGAAAAAGGTTATAGTATATGGTTTGGGGATGTCAGTTTACCATTCCCTTTTCTTTCTTACCCCCTTTTCTTTAGCTACTGATGGCAAGTAAATTTACAGGATGGAGAGCAGATTTGCTCCCCCTCTTTCCTGATTTAAAGGCATCATTTGGGAATATTAATCATGTCAGTGAATGTCAAGAGGATTTGCATGCTATCTGCATGCAGTTCTCCGCAGGACTGGGCCATCAGAAAATGGAGACGACAGAGTCTCCTCAAAGCTTGGCAATGATTGCCTGGAAGATGTGGGTACACAGAGTGTGATTCAGACCTGTGGATGCTGGAACACTGCCCAGGTCACAGCATCAGATCCTGACACCCTCCTCGTTTAAATTTGCGGGAGGGGAGGAGCAAGAGCTGAAAGTAGACATAATTTCTCCACTCAGCAAGCGTGCCCATAATATGATTCCAGCTCCCCCAAACTCTGTCCCAAAAGATAACTTCCACATGCACTGCTGGTTCCTGCTGCAGGGTGAAGAGCTGTTTTATCTCTGATCTGAAATCGCATTCCTGAGGAACTGGATAAGAGGTAGACAGGTCCTTGTAAGAATGCATGCTGTGCTATACTCGCTGAAATGACTCTATGGGTTCCCTTTCATTCCACAGCTGACTAAGCAAATTCATAAGGAGATGCTAAATTATCAGGAATAGCAGGTAGCTACATTTCCTATTTCTGACTTTTTAAGGAAGAACCAAGGATCTACCACAAGCCTGGCATTTTGTTCAACTGAGATATAAGGTGACCTTGGTCTCTAAATTAAGAATGCAATGTTAAAGACTGAATTCATCAGAAAGTAACTGTCACCCCATAATTTTAAATTCAAGGCTAACTTTCTCTATCAAAACTAGCACAGACCCAAGATGATGAAGACTGCACCACGGTGTAGTCAGAGGTTAAAATCAAAGTGCCACATAGGCACTATGGGGACTCAACAAAGCATGCCCTTGTCTTTGATAACTTTATAACATAATTGGATTAAAAATGCATACAGATATAATAAAAGAGTACTAGTAAGGTTTAGTAAGAGTATGTATGAGGCAGAGAGGAAATCTCTATGTACAAATGCCAGACTAAATATAATAGTACCAAAATAATTCAATTTAAGGAAACAATCTTTGGCATGGGCATAGTATTAGAAGGTACCCCAAAAAGTGAAACTTTAAACATTCTAAATTTCATATGAAATAATAGTATGGAATGCAGGTACTTGTATTACCTATGTTAAGAATATAATAAAGATTAGATGACTTACATGTAGCTTTTGAAAAATTAAGATGTGTATCTATATCTATATCTATCTATCTATCTATCTATCTATCTATAGACACACACACACACATACACACACATATATCCTAATTTGAATTTTTCATTACCTAATCCAATACACAGATAGTCAATATTAGGAAAGCAAATTTTAATACAAGGAAATATTTATTTGAAGTAGAATCTGTCTCTGGAGAGGGAAGGCAGGCTAAAAGAAAATTCAGTCTGCATTTAAACATGCCTCTCAATATTTACTCCCCCTTTAATATTTCATTAAACCTAGAAGTGAAAAGAAAGACAAAGAATGACTACAGAACAATCTAACTATCTCCTGTGGTTGGGAATATCATGAAAAAATAAACCTATCTGTAAATAAACAGAGATGATGCATAGATAAATCACACATAGAAACCCTATGTTGAAAATGACGGAGAACTGAAACAATTACAGACCAACAGTCACAGAAAGTATTTTCTTTGGCTAGTTACTTCTTTAGGCTCTTGGGTGTCCTTTTCTAGTCTAATAGGTTTTAAGGGTTGCTATTTATTTTAGAATAGTGTATATCATCATAACCAAAACTATGGAAAATTTTAATGCATTTGTATTAAAAAGAACAAATACTTCCAAAGATCTAATAAAGACCTTATTTCATATGATTCCTGTCATGGTGGCATAAAACATAATTTTTCCTCTTGGTTTTCCACTTATCCTTGTTTACAAATAGGAGGATTGATTTATTTTAAATTAACTGTTAGACATTTAATGGTTCTATTGTGATATGATAGATTCAGTGATCTTTTCAAAGTTATAATACTGGGAGAATCTATTTTATTATTGTCTCTCTATATAAAATTCAAAATAGAAAACCAGAAAGCATCAGAAAATACTCTTGGGAAAGACTTTTTACAAAGATGTACATTAGCTGTGAAAATGTATATTGAGATTTTTTTTTACAGGTCAACCTTGTCATATTATATGTCACTAACATAATATTCTCTAGAGTCTCTCAATATGCATCTTTAAATCATTCTTGGGCTCAAGGGAGGATTACATCGATGTTCCCTTGGTGATTTTGCTGCCCAATACTCTCTATCTGGATTCTCCTGGCCTCTCTCATCTTATGGTTACCTCCTGGGGGTGGGGGGCGTGGGGGGTAGCTTGTTGGTTTCCCAATGGCCTAAGATATTTAACCCTTTCACCTCTGTTATTTCCAGCTGGTATTACATCCCATACTTAGAGTTTCTGTACCTCCATAATTGGCTAAAGGATGAGATCATCTTCTCTCCTACTTCCTACTGAAACAAGCTCATAGACTCCATAAAAAAAAAAACAAAATTGTTATGGATAACTGGCTCTCAGTCTAAGGGAAATAAAAGGGGTGGATGTCCAACACTGGAAAAGCTGCATTTTCCCCCCCTAAGGAACCTTAAGAAAATCTCACAGTTGATGTATTTATTTCACACTTACATTGGATTATATTTTCAATAGCCCTTTTTTTGATTTTCCTCAAATCGCACATTCTACTCTTTACTCACACAAAACTCCAAAGATTCCAGTAACTCCTGTTGCCAATTAAACACAGACCTGGTAATCTCTTTCCAGTTACAACCTTCTGTTCCCTTTGGACAATTCCAAAACTGGTGATGGGGAGAACGTTGAGGTTCTGCCATTTCCTGGTTCGCTCACGGGCGGGGGATGAAGGTGGAACCCAGTGAAGACATCGAATGGGATGAAAGCAAGGCTGGGCCCAAAACAGTGCCCTCTTAGGTCTGAGAATTTGCTGTGCAGGCGTGGTATAATGCCAGCTAAAAGTCAGCTGATAAAATTTTCCAAGTCAGAAAGTTCTTCTGTTGTACAATGGAGAACTTTAAAGTTACTTGTTTTCATATTCCAGCCTTTCCAAATAGGCTGGGTTTTGATGACTGATTTTCAGAAGTTAGTAACTATTATATTTGATTATTATAATAGCATTCTTTAGGCCTACTACACTGAGCATGCTTTGTTAGAAATACCATCTTCAAAATACTCTATCAGGCTGATTATCAGGACGGCTATATTTAAAAAGCAGTCATGGGAATTTGGAGAGTTTCCTAATAGGTGGAAGGCACTGGATTGAAGCTCTTTTCCATACACCCTGATCTTTATAAGTTAGTTATTTTTTCTTTTGGCCCTAAGAGAATTAACCCAAACTGACCATCCCAAGGTTGTGCCCACTGTATCTGGTAGAGTAACCAGCCATTCCAGTTTTGCTCAGGATTTAGGGGGTTCCCCAAATGTGGGGCTTTGGGGGCTAAAACTGAGTAGTTCTCAGGCAAACAAGGACAAGTTGATCACCATTAGAACAAGGTAAACAATGGTCAAAAATCCAGGTGCCAAAGATATGGAAATGGAGCTAATGAGTATGAAAAAGGTAAAGGAAAGAGGATAAGAATGAGAATATATCACCCTAAGTGACCACAAGTGGCAGGAGTGGACAACTATTATCTCTGAACCATAGTTCCTCCTGAGTAGGAAATACTGTTTAAGCCTCTACCTGGTCCACACTATCAAGTGTAGTAACAGTTTCCAGAAACCTAAAGACCTTTGAGTAGAAATCCCCAGTCACTCACCTAACCTGATTCATTAGCACAGAAGGGAATTCGCAGATCAAGCGGGAATGTACCCGAGGCTCCCATAGGGAGAAGCACCTTTGTCAGAAGGTGCTCAGGTTAGAAGAATAGGAAAAAGATCTCTTTTGGTGAAGCATCAAGTCAACTACTATAGATATAACCCATTCAGAGAAGTGATAAAATATTTAAGAATTTCAAATTTAGTAGCTGTGAGGGAATTATCTTGTCAACATGAAGCATCTCAATATTGATGTTGATGAATTTAAAAAATATTGCCCCACCACGTCAGAGTTTTATAATAAGATTTTCACTACCAAAAGTACACAGTGGGTTTCCTTCTGCCCAAAGCGTCTGAGCAGAATGAGAAAAAGAGATCATGTCATTTCTGATTTGGAAAATGAATGAGTTTTATTTGACAATCTGCCATCACAGACTGACTTCTGTACTCATCGTTATCTTTTTCTATAGCCACATCAGCTTGACTTAGGATTATTTCCTTCCAGAATGAATACTTTAAACATTACAAAATTCAACCAAGTCAACCTATTCAATTAGTATTCTGCTTTGGTTGAATCTTCTTTCTTTCTCCCTTCTGTTCCCACTCCTAGTAATAAACTGAGTGGTTTATTTTTGACCAAGATATATACACAGCTTGGTTTACTCAAACAACAATGCATCAAATCAGGGAGAAGAGTGAGGGGGCAATACAGATGGACCTCTTCTGCGGAATGGTCAATAAGTAACTCTTATGTTTGGCGTTTCTGTAGGATTACCGAGTGAACATTTTTCTGAGACAACAGTGGAATGACTCCCGGCTGGCATACAGTGAGTACCCTGATGATTCCCTGGACTTGGACCCATCGATGCTGGACTCCATTTGGAAACCTGATTTGTTCTTTGCCAATGAGAAGGGTGCCAACTTCCATGATGTCACCACCGACAACAAATTGCTTCGGATTTCAAAAAATGGCAAAGTGCTCTACAGTATCAGGTAAGCTTCCTTTGGCTGCACTTGTTCTCGTTTCCATTTTTCTCCTGGCCTAGAGTTGCCTGATTCTGCATGGCAAGATGTATATGAACATTTGACTCTTGTGGTCTCTTGTTTATCATTTGAATCTTAAAGTTGGTGAGATTGCTAGAGGTTCCCACGGTCTCAGAAGTATGATTCTCTACAACAAAAGTATATTTGGTAGGATGGTGGGTGAATGATTGTACTGTGTAAATAATAAACAAAAAAAACAAATGTGTTTTTGATTGATTCAATAAAGGAAGCACAGGCCCTTTAGCTCAATTACAATTGAGCATACTATACAAATTCTCATTCAAATAATTCTGCCATTCTATAACATTTACACTCACATACACACAAAAATTTCAGTAATCAACAGCATACTTTGGGCTAGATGAGTGGAAAACAGGTTCTATTCCCAGCTCTGCTTCTAACTAAACATGTGAACTTGATCTCTGAACTTTTCTTCAGCTTGATTATATTCAAATGTGATCTTCTTTAGAATCTTTATTACCCAAGACTCAAAATAATCTCTCTCTTTTTTGAATTCTAGTAACAGTTTCTCTGTGAATCTATAAGGCTCTTATTTCTTCCTACCTCATATTTTGGCTATTTCTATACATGAATATGGCATAAGAACATGGATTTTTGGAATCAGACAAATCTAAAATCAAATTCAAGGTTTGCCACTTACCAAGTTACATAACCTGTAACCCTCAGTTATTGTAGTTGTAAAATGGGAAACACCACATTTATCTCTGAGTATTCTTGTGAGACTGAATGATATAGGGCAGAGGTCAGCAAATACTTTCTGTAAAGGACCAGATAGAAAGTATTTTAGTTTTGCAGGCCAGACTGTCTCAACTCTGTCACAACTACTCAACTCTGCCATTGTGGCACAAAAGCAGCCATAACCCACACTCAAACCATTGGGCATGTCTACATTTCAATAAAACTGTATTACAAAAACAGGCAGTGGACTACATTTGCCCCTTTGGCCATAGTTTGCTGACCCCAGAGACAGAGTACCTAAAAATACTTGTCACAGTATATGACACAAAGTAAGTGCTCAATAAATGAAATGATGTCTGTCTGTATTTTAAAGTTAATATTCTTTCTAATTAGTAAGCTCTTTAAAGCTAATATATTTGGATTTTGCATATTCTGCAACCCCCCTCAAAGGGCCAAGATAGTGTATTGTATATGAGAGATATCTAATACATTGAATAAATATTGACATTTTAAAGATCCTTTATAAAATTCCCCCTTTCTCTCCAATCTTATTACCTCCTTCCCCAAAAAGTGGACAGCTGGTATCCATGCGAATAATTTTCATAAGTTTGCAGACTCACCGCCATTAAAACCTCATTTCACAACTCAATATACAATTTAGGTCTGTACTGTATATTCCATTCTTAACCTAGTAATTTCACAGCTTGCTGATGGCCAACAGCCCCAAAGTCTTGTGGACCAAAAGAGGCTGCTCATTTGTAAAATGTAGCAGAGTCACTGCTTGCACAAAGAACCTGGAAATTCCCCTACTTTATTTTTAAGGAACTCTCCTTTTATTTTTATACAATTTTTAAGGAAACACAGACTATATCACATGGCGATGCACTTGGTGTAACACACAGTATTGGGCACAACCTAAGTTGATGTGACCTGATGACATGAGACATATGCAGAGCGTGGTACAGGGCATCAGCTGCTCCAGCTAACCCTCTGGGCTTTGGGTGGCATTTACTCTAGTAAATACATGGCATCTTACACTGATGATGAACTAAAACCAGGATTTGTTCCTTCTGTTCTATGAAGGCCTTTCCATTCTAGAATCACGAAGAACATAATGTTCCTCAGTTCTCGACCCAGAGGCAATTCTTGTATTTCTGGTTCCAAGTGTAGCATATTGCAGACTCTGAAATACCCTAACTATTGTTTTGAATTGAGTGGAGTTTGTCCTGTGACAGGCTGGTTTAGCTTTTCCTTCATTGTGGGTATTCTATGAAATTAGAGGAAAAATCCTTGGTGTAAGAGAACTGGGCATGTCATTTTAGGGAAACAGTACTTGGCAGCTTTCAACTGCAGGAATCTATTTGTTTGGAAGGGTTTTCAATGAGCCAGACACTGTGCTGGGCCTAGAGAGCCAGAGTTGAATAAGGTGCGGTACCTGACCTGGAAGGGCTCCAGTCTAACAAGGCAGGCAGACATAAAATATGAGGTGTGGTCAAACTACGGTGACTGTTTAAATAAACAAAATTATTACAATAAAAGACACATTGCCATTAATCCCCTTAAAACTCTTCCCCTCGCTTCAAACACTTATCCCATCATTCCTGCCACTTTCTGAAGCAGTTCTGGAAGTCCTCTTTCATGAGTGTCTTTAGTTGCGCTGTCGTGGCTGCCTTGATGTCCTGAATCATTTTGACTTTGGGGAAGAGCCAGAAGTCTCACGTGGCCAGATCCGGTCAATAAGGTGGATGAGGACACACAGTAATGTTTTTATTTGACAGAAACTGCCGTGCCAGAAGCGATGTGTGACACGGAGCATTGTCCTGATGGAGGATGAAGTAAAGACACTCACGAAAGAGGACTTCCAGAACTGCTTTAGATAGTAGCAAGAACGATGGGAAAACTGTGTTCAAAGTGAGGGGAGTATTTTGAGGGGTCTTAATGGCAATATGTCTTTTACTTTAATATTTTTTTGAATTTAAACATTCACCATAGTTTTTTATCACACCTTGGAAATTACATAATAGGAAAAAATAGAGAACAAGGAAAACTAGCTCTAACTTTACAAATGAACTGTGTTACTCAAATATTATCAGAATTTGGGGGCTGGCACCCATACTCCTATTTATTTGAGTCACTGGACTCAATTTAACTAGAGGACAGAGAGTAATTAGTGCTAATATATGCTCAGGTGCAACTCAAGTTTAAGGCAAAGCGGGCTACAGTTTCTTAGTGTCTTAAAGGTGCTGGAAAGGCCCTTCTGACGTTCCATTAGGAAGGACTTTCTTTCTACTTTCAGTTCTATAATGCAAATGTCCCTGGGACAGGAAATCCATTGGCCTAAATTCATAGTAAGCTATAAAGAGCTGATATGAAAATTTTTTTCTGATAGTAGGTTTGATGTCCGTAAATAATAGTGAGAACTACCATGTTGGATGCCTGAGAGGAGAAATCAGATAGCACAAAGAGGGTTAAGAAAGACACAAGGAAGGGATACAATAGAAGTACCAAAGATAAACTCATGATTTACCTCCATCCTACATATTTAAATAATTACTTAAACATTGGTCTACATTAAAAAAATGTTCTGTGGTGATCTTTTATATTTGCATTTTCCTGAAACCTAAAGCAAATGGATGACAGGATTTCATCCAGGAACAATTCCATGCTTTTCTTAGCTTTGGAGGCACAGAGGTAGAATTAACACTGCATGGAAGCCAAAGCCCAAGGCTTTGATGGCCAAACAAAACACACAGAGAACTATGCAGTCAGTGCACTGAGTTCATTAACAAGTAAGCACACACTTGCTGAGATTTTATGCAGCTATTTCCCAAAAGGCAGGGGTTTAAACGAAGAAGGGACAGTAGACCAGAACTCCATAAGTATTCTGCAGGTTCAAACTTGGGTCCCTTAGTAAAATTCAAACAGATCTTTAAATAGGTGCCAAAGGCCTTAGTTCAGTTAGAAAATTTCTATCCACTGATACAGGATACAGTCTTTGTTGATGAAAATGTATCAAATCTATTTCTGTCCACTCCTCTTCTGATTTCTTCTTTAATATTCATGTCCCTGATATGTTTGATCTCACTGTTTTTTTATTTGAAGTTTTTTGTTAACCCACCCCACTAAGTGTGGATCATCCTTGACCAAGGAGCAAACAATGACACACATCTTGCTTTGTACTCCTTCTTCAGAGACAGTCAAATTCTAAATTCATGTTCCTTAAGAAGGACTGAATCCATAGTGGAATAATGAGGTGAGACTTGAGTCTCACAGATATTTTTGTGCAAACAATGTATGTTGAATTGAATATAATAACTTGCAGTAGAAATCAAGGGCATCATGGCATATGCTGTGCAATATGACAGAGAAAAAGAGAAGGTGAGCATTTTTGGAAAGAAGCAGCATGTCTCATGTGTCCACAAGGTCCTTGCTAATATTTGGGTCTTTCCTCTTTACTTCCCATGACTTCTGAGAATTTTCTTCTGGAATCCTGACTTTTTATAGAAGCACAAGTTTGTTTATTTTTTTTAAATTTGAAGGCATCAGCTTACAAAATATATAATCTAACACCCTTGTTTTACTGACGAGGAAGTGACTTCTTTCAGAAATTATGAGAGTCAATAATGGAGCCCATAAAAAGGAAAGCTAGGACAAAAAGCAAAGCTCTTGACTTCTATTTCAGTGCTGTCACCTCTTACTACACATTCATTCTTCATTTACTTCAACTCAAGTCCAAACACAAACAAAGACAATTTCAAAGACATGTTTTGGAACCCACCTTTTTGGGACCCATTTTTTTAAAGGACTATTGGAGGAAGAACGTAAGGTTTAAGATGAGAACATAAAGTATCTTCAAATTTTGCAAATGTCTGAAAAGACTGTTTAAATTCAAGGTGCGACAACTGGCTTTCGAATAGGAAGATCTACTTGATAGTTTTATAACATATACCAAATGTAGCTTATATAGCATATCTACTTCCTGAAAAATTTTACTATCCTAGGGATCAAAGGGCTAAAGAGACTCATTATGTCAACTCCCTACTTTCATCAACCTGTTGAAAACTCATTCTATTTTTAAAGATGTTCAGAGGAGATTTTATATTCTCTCTTTGGATCATATAATGTTACTCTAACATTGTGCAGAAATTCTTCCTTATATAGCTTACATCACGTTTGCTACAACTTACATTAGTTGCTTTTTCCTACATTTGTTAATGGGATAAACAAACGGCTACCATTTTTGGAAGGAT